GAAATTTCAGACTTTGAAGATCAAATAAGATATTATGGGACAGTCTCAGAAAAAATGGTGGAATCTGGCAAAAGATATTTTTGCCGCTTCTATAGACAGTTCTATGAACAGAAGCGATGAGACTTCTCAGGTGTTTTTCAAGGGGTTTTCCATTTAATTTTTTTTTAACTTGAAGAGAAATGAAAGATTACATGTCTTCTAAAGTATCAGCATTTAAAAATTATCTAGAAAATGTTTTCAGGAATTAATAGGTCATACATTTGATTATTAGAGGCTCAGAATAAGATACCAACCTAAAATATTTAATAAATCTTCCCTCTATATAAGTACACAAGCAACAGTAAATATTTGTAACCCAAAAATGTTACAAAAATTAACTGCTATTCTATGGACTTAGTTTGTAATTTTACGGCTGCTTTCTTTCTCTTTGAATTTTGGGTTGCTCTTTATGTACTTTCTAAAATATTAGTTTAAATTCAGAACCCCCTTGTCCTATCTGAAGTAGCATGTATTTTTCTTAAACACATAACTATAGTGGGGAAGCTCCCTTTCAAAGAAATTCTTTTTTGAGGGTGGAGATGGAGTCTTGTTCTGTCACCCAGGCTGAGCTGGAGTGCAGTGGCGTGTACTCAGTTCACTGCAACCTCCACCTCCCAGGTTCAAGCCATTGTCCTGCCTCAGCCTCCTGAGTAGCTGGGATTACAGGTGCCAGCCACCACGCCCAGCTAATTTTTGTATTTTTGGTAGAGACAGGGTTTCACCATGTTGGCTAGGCTGATCTCAAACTCCTAACCGCAAGGGATCCACGTGCCTTGGCCTCCCAAAGGGCTGGGATTACAGGCGTGAGCCACTGTGTCCAGCCTTAAAAGAAATTCTTCATTGAAATTTTAAAGCAAAGAATCTTTCTTTCTGTAGTGTGAATGATCACTACAAACTGGGTATTTCTTTTCTTTTCTTTTTTTGACACAAGGTCTTGCCCAAATTGGAGTGCAGTGGTACAATGATGAGCCCTCCCAGGCTCAGCCTTCTGAGTACCTGGGATGACAGGTATGCATCACCAGCCCCAGCTAATCTTTCTAATTTTTGTAGAGATAGGGTCTCACTGTGTTGCCTAAGCTGGTTTCAAACTCCTGGGCTCATGGATTTCATGATTCACATTGTTAGGAAATCATACTTTATTTTATTTAATAATAACCTAAATTTCTTTGTTTGCCTGAAGATGGAAAGTGATCATTTTTCACTTAAGCCTTACATCATTTTAAAGAACAGTTTCCAAATAGAAGTGTAGCCAGTCTAACTTATTTCAGAAAGTGCTTAATTGTCCAAAGATTGATCCTTCTGCCTTGGTCTCCCAAATGCTGGGATTACAGGCTTGACCCACCGTGCCTGGCTTAGGGGATTTCTTAAGGATAGATGGAATTACTATTTACTTGTAGCTGCTTTTAGGTGTCCTCATCTTTTTCATTTTTTTTTTTAATTTGTACTTTTTTTTAAATTGCATTTTAGGTTTTGGGGTACATGTGAAGGACATGCAAGATTGTTGCATAGATACACACATGGCAGTGTGATTTGCTGCCTTCCTCCCCATCACCTGTATCTGGCATTTCCCCCATGCTATCTCTCCCCAACTCCCCACCCCTTGCTGTCCCTCCCCTGTTTCCCCTGACAGATCCCAGTGTGTGATGCTCCCCTCCCTGTGTCCATGTGTTCTCATTGTTCAACACCCACCTATGAGTGAGAACATGCGGTATTTGATTTTCTGTTCTTGTATCAGTTTGCTGAGAATGATGGTTTCCAGGTTCATCCATGTCCCTACAAAGGACACGAACTCATCATTTTTGATGGCTGCATAATATTCCATGGTGTATATGTGCCACATTTTCCCTGTCCAGTCTATAATCGATGGGCATTTGGGTTGGTTCCAGTTCTTTGCTATTGTAAACAGTGCTGCAGTGAACATTTGTGTGCATGTGTCCTTACAGTAGAACGATTTATAATTCTCTGGATATATACCCAGTAATGGGATTGCTGGGTCAAATGGATTTTCCACTTCTAGGTCCTTGAGGAATTGCCACACTGTCTTCCACAATGGTTGAACTAATTTACACTCGGACCAACAGTATAAAAGTGTTCCTGTTTCTCCACGTCCTCTCCAGCATCTGTTGTCTCCAGATTTTTTAATGATTGCCATTCTAACTGGCGTGAGATGGTATCTCAATGTGGTTTTGATTTGCATTTCTCTAATGACCAGTGATGATGAGCATTTTTTTATATGTTTGTTGGCTTCATGTATGTCTTCTTTTGTAAATTGTCTGTTCCTATCCTTTGCCCACTTTTGAATGGGCTTGTTTTGTTCTTCTAAATCTGTTTTAGTTCTTTGTAAATTCTGGATATCAGCCTTTGTCAGCTGGGTAAACTGCAAAAATTTTTTCCCATTCTGTTGGTTGCCGATTCACTCTAATGACTGTTTTTTTTGCCATGCAGAAGCTGTGGAGTTTGATTAGGTCCCATTTGTCTATTTTGGCTTTTGTTGCCATTGCTTTTGGTGTTTTGTTCATAAAGTCCTTGCCTACGCCTATGTCATGAATGGTTTTGCCTAGATTTTCTTCTAGGGTTTTTGTGGTGTTAGGTTTTATGTTTAAGTCTTTAATCTATCTGGAGTTAATTTTAGTGTAAGGTGACAGGAAGGGGTCCAGTTTCTGCTTTTAGCCAGTTTTCCCAGTACCATTTATTAAACAGAGACTCCTTTCCCCATTGCTTGTTTTTGTTGGGTTGTCAAAGATCAGATGGTTGTAGATGTGTTGTGTTGCCTCCGAGGCCTCTGTTCTGTTCCGTTGGTCTATATCTCTGTTTTGGTACCAGTATCATGCTGTTTTGATTACTGTAGGCTTGTAGTATAGTTTGAAATCTGGTAGTGTGATGCCTCCTGCTTTGTTCTTTTTGCTTAGAATTGACTTGGCTATGCAGGCTCTCTTTTGGTTCCTGAAAATGACCATACTGCCCAAAGTACTTTACAGATTCAATGCTATCCCCATCAAGATACCAATGACCTTCTTCACAGAACTGGAAAAAACCACCTTAAACTTCATATGGAATCTTTTTCAGTTTGGGTTCAGATATTTCTGCTTCAGTTCTCCCTCAATAAGCATGACCTGACCCTTTTTGTGCATGACCATGAAAAAGAACAGTGACTGGCCAAATTGTTGGTCTGAGGTCATTCATCATTTTAATGGAGTGGATCTCACGGCTCTTCAGTTCTTAATGTCATAATTGCTGACCTTTTTCTTTAAATTATTGAACAAAATAAAAATTTTAAAGGAGGTACAAACATTTTTAAACGTAAGACAAGAAAGTGACTTCTGTTTAGCATATTTAGTTCATAAAGTGAATGCTAATTGTGCTTGGTGCTGGGAGTCAAAATTAGTAAGAAGCTTTCAGAGCAGAAACTATTAAACAGTGAGCTGCTTATTTGATCTACATTATACCTTTTGTTTGATTTGCCTGAAAATAACATTTAAATTTTATGATTTTTAATTCAAGAGTCAAAGGGGAATAGAGGCACTGCATCTGCTGTTCCTTTTGACTTTAGTCTTTACTAATTGATATTTCTTTCCTACCCTGTCCTCCTTTAGACAATTGCAATTTCTACTTGAATCTTAAAATGTAATTAGTACTACAGCTACAGCTGTTAGAAATGTAAGGGGAAGTCCGAAGTTGAGGAGTGTCCACTTTATGAATTTGATTGGAATAGAGTTATTCTGAGAGAAAGGTAATCATTTCTTGGTAGTTAACAATTATTGATAGAATTATAGGTAGTAGAACAAGGGAGGAGATATTTTTGTTTTCTTGCTCCTTTATTTTTACTCATATTTTTGGGGCACTAGCATTAAATGATGCACTATGCTCTTTCTCTACTATTACTTCATTATTTAGAGTCTCTAATTTTTAACTTGGCATTATTTAGATGTCTTTAATTACATTAGTATCTATAAGCCCAGGGTTGAATCGACAGTTTGGAATCTTAACCGTAGTTGTCATTCTGCTGCCTTAACTAATTACCTTTTTTTTTTTTAACCAAAAAAATCCGTTTTTATTTTGATGGCAGTGGAGAGATACAGAAAGCCATTCTCAATGGCACTGTGCAGATTACCTTGTATTATTTTCTAACTGATGTATATATATGACTTGATAATTTTTATAGTGCATTTAGTATATCTCAGAGCCAGAACTTGTTGTTAATAGAGGAAAGATGGATGTGAAAATGAATGGCATGCAATAGGAAAACAGAATAAGTACCCATTAGTATTCTATCTAATCAGCATCTTTGTTCCTGGATTTCAGGCAAATAATATCCTCCTTTATAAACATGGTAAAAGCTTGCTGAGTATTGCTTGTTGGTATGTTTCCTTTCTTATTTTCCTTGCCTTCTTTGTCTTTCCAAGTTTAATTCAGGTTGAACATCTCTCTTCTCTTCCCTCTAAGATAGAGAAACAAAGCAAAATTTATAAAATCTTAAAATTAGTATAAGTACTATTTATATGTTAAAGTTACTCTTAGGGCCTTTGAGAGAAGTTTGAAGTGACAGAAAAAACTCTTACTTTGTGCTTGATATAGCCTTGAAGTATAATTGCTCCTTGTGGGAATAATTAAGAATGAGATAACCTTTATGAAGAAAGCTGTATGGTATTGGGTAGAATCTTGGTATGTATAGTAAGGTTTTATTTATGAGTTAGAAAATCTTTTGCTAATTAGTGATCTATTTGGTTAACTGCGTGATATCCTCAAGCCAAGGATTAGAATGTTAGTTTTTCAGGTACATTCTGGTCTACTGCAAATACTGGTGAAGTCTTTAGTGGAAGAAAAATTTCAGGTTTCCAAATTGCCAATGCAGAGAAAATTTCTTCTCTCTTTTTCAAAGAGGAGACTAGTTCAAGATTTATAAAGTTTCTTAGTGTGTGTTTTAAATGGCTTTACATTTTTTTTCTTCTTCTTTTTGACAGGAATCTTTTAGTCCTGCTGTACAGCTGCACCTTGTACATCAAGCTCCATGTAATGTTCCTCCTTACCTCTCAAAAAATGAATCAAACCTTGGGGACCTCTTACTGGGCTTTCTTAAATATTACGCTACAGAATTTGAGTAAGTAAAACTTTAAATTGTGGTTTTGTTACACACATATATATGTATATGTGAGTGTATATATAAGTGAATGCTGCAAATTTGGTCAGAAGCTATATTTGTCACTTCTAGTGCTGTAAAGTTGCCCAGAAATGTATATAAAAATTTTCTGTGTAACAATGAATTATTGGAAGCTAATTAGATTTAATATTCTTAGCTAATAAATAAATGTATAGGTTAGTAAGCCCAATTTTAGTTGATTTCAATAGTGATAGGCCCAATGTGTTTGTCCTATGCAGGTGTAGTTTGGAACATCCATTTTCTGTGAACTTAAAATGTATAGTAAAAAGCACTGATAAGACAGACACTAATAAAGATCTATGTCATACTTGGCATCTTCATAAATAGCTGTGTTAGTATGATATACAAATCAAGGAATGTGTCTTTTCCTTTTTTCTTTTCTTTTTTGAAGGTGATATGTAAACATGAAACAAAATGTTAATCAGGCTGGACAGAACTGAAAGTTCTTACGTGAATTCTGTGTCCAGATAGAATGGAGTTAGGAGTTATTTGCAGCTCTTCTGATCAATCTGGAAAAGCTTGAGGGAGGAAGAGAGAAGATTTAGGACTTTTACAGAATTAAAGGCGGGTACAGTTAACATAGAATACCACTTTGAAGAAGTTTGCATAGGGGAATAATAATAGTAATATTAATAAATTGCTATTACTAGGTGGAAAATAGATCTAAACATATATTTATTTTATTTATATTTATAATTCCATTTACATAATTGCTATCTGATGTGTTGTGTATTATGCCCATTTTACCAGTGAAGCGCAAGGAGAGGGGAAGTAATGTGCTCCAAGATCACATAGCTAATAAGAGTAGTATTTCAGATAGTTTTGACTGCAGAATTCACACTTAAACTGTGACGTTTTAATGTATCCAAGTACAAGTCCAGGCAACAAGTATAAAAAGGTAGGAGCTTTCATTTATGTAAAGATGAGGAAAGATTAAAGACTGGATGAGATGCAGTATATAAATAGACTATAAATGTTATTCTAGAGTTTAATGGTTATTCTAGAGTTATGTATGCCGTACATAGACTGTAAATGTTATTCTAGAGTTTAATGGTTATTCTAGAGTTCTTTTTAAGATGTTGCAATAACAATAGCCAATGTTTAGTGAGAATTTATCTAGTATCCTGTAGTAAGCTGAGTGATTCCCATGGATTTCAGTTAATCCATATAATAACTTCTGTCAAACTTAAGGAATTTGTGTGCATGAAATTTGTCCATGGCATTCTCTAGCTAGATTGTGGGAGAGTTGGGATTCACATTCAAGCTGGACTTCAAAACTACATTCTTAATTGTTAGACTGTATTGACATTGTTTATTATGTTATGTAAATTAGGGACTGGGGGATGTTTGTGGTGGGGGAAAAGAATTCACAGAAGAAAGATATTCTTCTCCCATGTATAGTATAGGATTAGAGCATCTGGATACAAATACCTTGCTTTGTTGATACAAATCACCTGCTTTGTTGAACAGAAACAAGATAGTAGATATGTAGTTTGTATCTTAATTTAATATTAAAGGAAACTAGTCTGCTGGGTCAAATGATGCTGATGCTTGGAAAGAGGATTCAAAAGTTCACCATATAGCACATTTGTAATTTCAAATGAAATATTTTCAGAAATTTTACTGTAGGTATCACAGCCAAGAATGTAGTCATGGTAATAAACTAGATGCCATATAAAAGAATTATGGCAACTGGTAAAAATATCTATAAGGATTTCTTCTGAACTTTGTGGTAATCATTTAAAAAGTTCTTTTTTCTTTTTCTTTTCTTTCTTTTGAGACAGAGTCTCACTCTGTTGCCCAGGCTGGAGTGCAGTGGCGCAATCTCGGCTCACTGCAACCTTTTCCTCCTGGGTTCAAGTGATTCTCCTGCTTCAGCCTCCTGAGTAGCTGGGATTCCAGGTGCTTGCCACCGTGCCCACCCAATTTTTTTTTACTATTATTATTTTTAATAGAGATGGGGTTTCAACATATTGGCCAGGCTGGTCTTCAACTCCTGATTTCAAGTGATCCACCCACCTCAGCCTCCCAAAGTACTAGGATTATATGTGTGGGCCACCATGCCTGGCCGAAAGTTCTTTTTTCTGAAAGACAAAACATTAAGTGACTCTTAAGGAATGCCTGAGTATATGGTATAAATGTTACAGAAGTTTTATATGGTCGTTTAAAAATTATGATTTCTCGTCCAGGTGTGGTGGCTCATGTGTGTAATCCCAGTACTTTGAGAGGTCAAGGAAGGGAGATCACTTGAGGCCAGAAGTTTGAGACCAATCTGGGCAACATGGCAAAACCCATTCTCTACTAAAAATGCAAAAATCAGCTGGGCTTGGTGGTGCATGCCTGTAGTCCCAGCTACTTCGGAGGCTGAGGCACAGGAATCGCTTGAACTAGGGAGGTGGAGGTTGCAGTGAGCTGAGATCGCTCCGTTGCACTCCATCCTGGGCAATAGAGTGAGACTCTATTGTCTCAAAAAAAAAAAAAATTACTATTTTTCTTACTTACTTTATTTACACCTTGCTGCTGAAATACTTCTGTTTTAATTTTTACTTTTTGTGGGTACATGATAGGTTTGTATATTTATAGGGTATGTGAGGTATTTTGATATAGGCATACAGTAGATAGTAATTGCATCAGGATGAATGAAGTATCCATCACCTCAAGCATTTATCCTTTGCATTACAAACAATCCAGTTATCCTATTTTACTTATTTTTTAGTGTATAATTAAATTATTATTGACTATAGTCACCCAGTTGTGTTACTAAATATATATCTTATTTGTTCTATTTTCTTGCACTCATTAACCATCCCCACTTCCCCCTCTCCCTGCCACTGCCCTTCCCAGCCTCTGGTAACCATCATTCTAGTCTATCTGCATGAGTTAATTGTTTTAATTTTTAGATCCCACAGACAGCTGAGAAGATGTGAAGTCTGTCGTCCTGTGCCTGGCTTATCTCACTTAATGTCCTCCAGTTCCATCCATGATGTTGCAAATGACAGGATCACATTCTTTTGTATGGCTCAATAGTACTCTGTTGTGTATAAGTACCACGTTTTCTTTATCCATTCCTCTGTTGATGGACACTTAAGTTGCTTCTAAATCTTGGCTATTGGGAATAGTGTTACAATAAACATGGGAGTACAGATCTCTGTTCGGTATCCTGATTTTCTTTCATTTGGGTATATGCCTAAGAGTGGGATTGCTGGATCATATGGTAGTTCTACTTTTAGTTTTGGGGAAACCTCCAAACTGTTCTTCATAATGGTTGTACTAATTTACATTTCCACCAACAGGGTATGAGGTTTCCTTGCCAGCATTCACTGTTGCCTGTCTTTTGGATAAAAGCCATTTTAAGTGCTGTGAGATGATACCTCACTGTAGTTTTGATTTGCCTTTGTCTGATGATCAGCGATGTTAAGCACCTTTGCATATACCTGTTTGCTCTTTGTATGCCTTCTTTTGAGAAATGCCTATTGAGCTCTTCTGTCCATGTTTTAATCGGATTATTAGATTTTTTCCTATAGAGTTGTTTGAGCTCTTTATACATTCTGGCCATTAATCCCTTGTGAGATGAATAGTTAGCAAATATTTCCTGCCATTTTGTGGATTGTCTCTTCACTTTGTTGATTGCTTGCTTTGCTATGCAGAAGATTCTTAACTTGATGTGATCCCATTTGTCCATTTGCTTTGGTTGCCTGTGCTTATGGGGTATTACTCAAGACACCTTTGCCCAGACCAATGTCTTGGAGAGTTTCCCCAATGTTTTCTTGTGGTGGTTTCATATTTGAGGTCTTAGATTGAAGTCTTCAATCCATTTTGGTTTGATTTTTGTGTATGTCAAGAGATAGGGGTTTTAGTTTCATTCTTCTGCATATGGATATATAGTTTTCCCAGCACTATTTATTGAAGAGACTGTGCTTTCCCTAGTATATGTTCTTGCACTGTTGTTGAAAATGAGTTCACTGTAGACATATAGATTTATTTTGGTGTTCTTTATTCTGTTCCAATGGTCTATGTGTCTGTTCTTACGCCAGTCCCATGCTGGTTTGGTTGCAGCTTTACTGAATTTGTTATCATTTTAAGATTGAGATACCTACAAGATATTCAAGTGGAGAAACTGAGTAGATAGTTGGACATACAAGCCTAGAGTCAGGGGAGAGGTCACAGAGCTAAATATTTGGGAGTTGTCACCAGATAGATGGTATTTAAATCTATGAAACACTTTGAAAAAAACCAAGGGAGTGAATAGATAGATGGAAAAGAGAAAAAGGACCAAAGGTTACATCCTTGGATACTCCGGTGTTGAGAAGTTTACAGGAAATACAGGGGGTAAAGGAATATGAGCTGCAACCTACACTTGCTCAGGTGATCCTTCCACCTCAGCCTCCTGAGTAGCTGGGACTATAGGCGCTTGCCACCATGCTTGATAATTTTTTGATTTTTAGTAGAGACATTTGAAACAATGGAGCAGAGTATTCTTTCTGTTTGGATTCTCTACTAATGGAACTGCAGTGCATGAGAGATCTAAAACATTTACTTAGTACCTGATACTAAGTATTTCCATTTGACAACCCACTTATTTTTCAAAAGCTCAAATCCTAATATATATTGTAAAAGTAAAGTTGTCTTTATAAAATATTTACAAACTACTCTTGATCATAACAAAATAAATTATACTTTCATGGTGCTTTACATGGATCAGAATTCACAAGATGCAAGATTTTTCATGCTTATTTAATATAGGAATTAATCAAATTTCTATAAACAAATGCCATACAGGACCCATGATTATATTCTTACAGAATCTCTTTCTGATAAATACAGGAGAAGTGTAGGGTAAGTGTTGAAAGGCCCCAAGCTATAGTCTTTCTCTGCTTGGTTAAATGGTAGACAAAGCTAAATACTGCTCAAAAAAATGATACCAGTTGTTCCTTAAATTTAGTTTTCTCTTGTATACAAGCTGGGTAGTCCTATGTTTTAGAATGTTCCTTGACAAAAAGAAAATACTCGTGACAATTGTTAGAAAAACCTTTTTAAAAAATGCGAAGTTAATATATACTAAAGACTGAACAATTAACTTTCAGGCCTGCTCATGAAATTGTTTTACTTGAATAAAGTTTTACTCTTAACAGCTGCATCTGATATACAGCAATAAAGTATATTTTCATAGAGTATTAATTTTGCTTTCATAAAACAGCATCTACTTGCTTCTATTGGAAAATTTCAAAATTTCTCCCAAATCATGTACATGAACAGAAATTATTTAAAAATACCAGAAGACAGTGCTAGAAGATTACTTCTCTCTTAACAAATCAAAGATTATTTACTACATTGTTAACTATGACATAGTTGTTATTTTGTTTACTTGTACTTTCTTTTTTTTTTGAGATGGAGTCTCACTCTGTCACCAGGCTGGAATGCAGTGGTGCGATCTCAGCTCACTGCAACCTCTGCCTCCTGGGTTCAAGTGATTCCCCTGCCCCAGCCTCCCAAGTAGCTGGGACTACAGGCGTGCGCCACCACGCCTGGCTAATTTTTTGTATTTTAGTAGAGATAGGGTTTCACCACGTTGGCCAGAATGTTCTTGATCTCCTGACCTAGTGATCTGCCCTCATTGGCCTCCCAAAGTGCTGGGATTACAGGCGTGAGCCACAGCGCCTGGCTTGTACTTCCTTATTTTTCCAGTTACTTTATTTTTTTAGTAAATATGTGTTGAAATCCTGGTATATACTGTGCACCTAGGTGAAGAGTGTAAAAAATAGATAAATATCCAATATCTTGGAGCTTTCATCCTAGTTGAGGGAGACACAATGAAGAATAATATAATAAATAGTAAATGTAAGAATCAAATTCTTAGAAGGCGATAAGTGTTATGGAGAAAAAATAGAGGAGGGAAATAGGGGTTGTGGTGCTGAGGGTAGGGCACAGGTTCAGTATTCCACAAGAAAATTGGGGTAGGCCTTACTACTGTTACAATAAAAATAATAAGGCAATTATGAAAATAGTTAACATGGTTACCGTTTTTCTTCTTATAGCTGGAATAGTCAAATGATTTCAGTTCGTGAAGCCAAAGCCATTCCGAGGCCTGATGGTATTGAATGGAGAAATAAATACATCTGTGTAGAAGGTAGTTTTCTGTTTGCCATCCAGTTATCATCATGGTACTAAGCGAATTACTTGAGTAATTTCAGCTGTGTTTCAGTTAAAAGTAATACATTTATATCTGAAGCGATTTCTACATCTCTTAATTTAAAAATTTTAATTTAAAAAATCATTGATGGGGAGGGAGGGGAGGGGAGGGAGGGATAACATGGGAAGAAATGCCAGATACAGTATGCACCTAAAGTAAAATAAATTAATTTTAAAAAACCATTGAAATTTTTTAGTTGTGAGAAATAATAAACATAAATTTAGGCATTCACCCTTTCTAGTTGGTAAGATTTGGGCTGTCTTTATCCCTCTTACTTGTGGTTGATAGACAATTTCATGACTTATGGTTGGAAGAAATCTTTATATATGATTCTTATATTGACCTGAGTTATTTTATATTCTTTCATACTTAAAATATTATTACTTAATGTAAGTTGCACTTTTATAACTAGAACTTGATTGTGCTTTAAAAATTAAATGATATGAAGAAATTTTCTTTTCTAAAATTAATTTACATGTAGTTGAATATCCTTGATTTCAGTGGACAGAATTGTTCTCATAGTTGCTAAATTGAAGACCTTTGTAAATCAAGAGGTAAAAAAGTATAAGTAGTTGAGAATCAGCATGTGTAGAAAACAACAGATTTCAGATATTTTAATCTTGAATTATATGCAATATTTTAAGAGTTTGTGAATATGAAATTAAATCTGCTTTGGTGTGCTAATAAATTGCACTGGGTGAACGTTATTTTAGTTACTTGTATTCTAATGAATACTAAACACTGTTATAAATTGCAATGACGATGTAATCCAGTATAATTTGGCATATGACCTTACTCTGTTAAGGAAAAAAAACCCCACAGTACTGTTAACTCCTTTTTAACATAGCCTTTCTAAGCAATAAAAAATAAGCAAAAGAAGTATTTAAAATTATGGGCCTGCATAAATTATATGAGAAATCTAAAGTTTAACCTTTCCATCAGATTGCCTGTTCTTTCACACGCTTTCTAGGTCTTTCTCCTTAGTTACCTTTCCTCTTACCAGCAACTTCATTCTTTCTCTCTCCGGTCCTTCCCTTTCAGCTCTAAGGCATACATAGATCTTCTCATTCTCAAAAAATACTCTTTATTTGGTCCTACTGGTTTTTCTATGCATTTTTCCTCCCTTTTCTGTGCTAAAATTCTTAATTTCTAGTAATTTTTACCTACTGCTGGCATGATTTTAGTCACTTCATCTCATTACTGATGCCTTTAGTTATCCTTGTCTTCTCATTATTTTCAGTTTCCTTGTACTCTTCTGGTTTCTTCCTCTCTCTCTCTCTCTCTCTCTCTCTCTCTCTCTCTCTCTGGATTCTTCTCTCTTGAGGGTGAAGGGTGAGTGGGATGGTGGTATGATCATGGAAGGTATATATATATTGGAGATGCACATATATAAAAATCGTTCCTTTGTTTTTTTTCCTGTCTTCTCTGTTTGCTATTCTCTTTTTCTGCCCAATTCATGCAAGTTAACTTCACTGTATCTTTTTTCTAAACTATCCATTCGGGCCGTAACTCCCTGTACTGTCTTTTGTTTTCTCCAGTATTGAACCTCTACCTTAAAAGGACAAATCAGTTTTTAAGTTTAAACTTAAAGGTACCTTTCTGTGATATTTAAGGTTGACTGCCTCTCTTAGATATAATGGCTTTTTCTTTTAATGACTTTTTATTATTTTATTAAGGGTAGGTCTTTGACCTTCTGTAATTTTTCAGAAATCTTATCCACATTTATGATTTAGACTTAACACACCTATGCTGATGACTTTGCTTTTTAATCACCCTTTCCCTTCAATTCTATCTACCTTATTAGGTAGTTCATAGCTATATTAAGCTTTTCTGCATATATAAATCTAATAAAGATATTAGGCTGACCCATCTGAAATTGCAATTTTTGTAGGTCAGAAACTGTCACATACTGACAGTGTCAACCCTAAAAAAGAAACTGTAGCTCTCATTTTAATTTTTTTTTTTTAACATGTGCATTCAACATTGCAGAACCTTTTGATGGAACAAATACAGCCAGAGCGGTGCACGAAAAGCAGAAATTTGACATGATCAAGGATCAATTTTTAAAGGTAAACAGTGCATTAGATCAACTCTAGAAACAGTAGTACACTAGTATGCTTTAAAAAGGAAACAAAATATATGTAATAGGACAGAGTAGTCCTGATTTCTCTTTGTGAATCTACTAATCTAGCACAATAGGGAACTTGTCGTTTGAATTTAGATAAACTATTCTTTCAAAGAGATCTGGCTCTGCTTTTATTCACATTGCTTTCACTTTCATAGAAATAAGCATTTTCTTTTTTCTTTTTTTGAGATGGAATTTCACTCCTGTTGCCCAGGCTGGAGTGCAGTGGCACAGTCTCAGCAACCTTCACCTCCCAGGTTCAAGGGATTCTCTTGCCTCAGCCTCCACAGTAGCTGGGATTATAGACCTCTACCACCACACCTGGCTAATTTTGTTTGTTTGTTTGTTTTGTTTTCATAGAGACAGGATTTCAACATGTTGGTCAGGCTAGTCTTGAACTCCTCACCTCAGGTGATTCACCCACCTGGGCCTCCCAAAGTGTTGGGATTACAGACGTGAGCTACCACGCCATGCCCTGATAAGTATTTTCATAGTGACATTATTAAAGTTCCAAAATTAGTAAGTAAAACCTAATGGACTCTTTGACCTCCTTAGTATATCAGGGAATTTCTTGTGGCCTTACAAGGAAGCTGATGTCTAATCCATGCTTTTTATTCTGTATACCCCACTGTCACAGGAATTAGAGTGCCATTTTATCTTTGTTTATATTTTGGACAGTTAAAAAAATTTATGTCTGTGTCCATAGTATGAATTTATTCATCAGTGATGTTGCTAGATGTGGTCCTTATCTTCAAGGACTTCCACAACACATTTTAGAAATGCATTGATGTATGTGTTGAGACTTGGAGGGGAGGGAAAGCTTTATGGAAGAAAAAGATGAGAGAACTGCAGAGATCATTTTAGAGGCATCTTTTTTTTTTTGGAGACAGAGCCTTGCTCTGTCACCAGGCTGGAGTGCAGTGGCACGATCTTGGCTCACTGCAAAGTCTGCCTCCTGGGTTCAAGTGATTCTCCTTCCTCAGTCTCACGAGTAGCTGGGATTACAGGTACCTGCCATTACATCTGGCTAATTTTTGTATTTTTAATAGAGATGGGGTTTCACCATGTTGGCCAGGTTGGTTTTGAACTCCTGACCTCAGGTGATCTGCCCACCTTGCCTCCGAAAGTGCTGGGATTATAGGCGTGAGCCACTGTCCCCGGCTGAGGCATACTTTTTCATTGTCTAGACATACAAGTCGACTTTATTTTAATGATAATTTAAAATGTAAGTATTGAGGCATGAGTATCACTGGAGCCCAGGAGTTCAAGGCTACAGTGGGCTATTATCAAGTTGCTGCACTTCAAGCCTAGACGACAGAGTGAGACCCACCTCTACATACATACATACGTATGTACATACATAAAAATAATGGTCATGTGCAATGGTTAACACCTGTAATCCGAACACTTTGGGAGGTCAAGGCAGGAAGATTGCTTAAGGCTAGGAGTTTAAGACCAGCCTGGGCAACACATAGCAAGATATAGTACACACACACACACACACACACACACACACACACATATACTCTCACTCACTCACCCACCCCATCCCATTCCTGGGTACACTGGTGCTCATCTGTGTCTTAGCTACTGGGGAGGCTGACTGGGGAGGATGGCCTTGAGCCTAGGAGGTTGAGGCTACAGTGAGCTGTGATTGTGCCACTGTACTCCAGCCTGAACAATAGAATGAGTCCCTGTTTCAGATAGATAGATAGATAGATAGATAGATAGATAGATAGATAGATAGATAGATAGATAGATAGACAGACAACAGATAGATAGATAGACAATCGATCGAGATAGATAGATAGATAGATAGATAGATAGATAGATAGTATTCTATTACAAGCTATCCTTCAAATGAGGCTTTCTTAATTTGGCAACCAGAAAAGAAATTCTTTATCTTTAAAACAGATATCCAAGAGAGAATATTTTTGTCTATCAGATTAACTTGAGAAGTCAAAAATAGTATTGCTCCATTGCTGTTCTTATTGATAAGTGAGCTTTCATTTAGGATTGTTTAGTTGTAAAACCAGTATTTTTAGTCAATTGAATAACTGAAGTGAGACTAGAATACAATGATCTGCAGTCACCAAGTAGCCAGATTTTTAGCTTGTGAACAAGTTTCTTTTCTTATCCTTATAAATTCAAATCACTGTTCTTTTCCAGAGGCATACATAAAGTGCCCTATAGTAAATTTACTCTCTCCTTCATAAATACTATTTTTTTTTAGACAGGGTCTTGCTCTGTCACAAGACTCATGCAGCCTCAACCTTCTGGGCTCAACGATCCTCCCACCTCAGCCTCCTGAGTGCTGGGTATGGTACCACCGTACCCACCTAATTTTTGTATTTTTTGTACAGACAGGGTTTCACCATGTTACCCAGGCTGGTCTTGAGCTCCTGGGCTCAAGTGATCTGCCTACCTCAGCCTCCCAGAGTTCTGGAATTACAGGTGTGAGACACCTTACCCAGCTTCATAAATATTTTTAATGGAAAAAGCTAATAAAGATGTAAGACAGTCAGTCAAATAATTGAAATATATAATCCTCTCCTCTCAAATCCAAAGGTTTTGTCTTAATTACCTTGCTATTTTAAATTGAATTAACTCATGAATAAATACTAATATTGTCAGTTGTATCTTTCAGTACCACCTGTGTGCCCATTTCTTTAATAATGAATTGGAACCATAAAAGTACAGAGTTTTAAAATAACATTTTCTTTTCTTATACTTTGTTAAAAACTTGGAAAATAAAAACTCAGAGAACCAGACTGGGCAATACAGTGAGACCTTGTCTCTACAAAAAATTTTAAAAATTATCTGCATGTGGTGGAACACACCTGTAATCCCATCTACTCAGGAGGCTGAGGTGGGAGGATATCTTGAGCCTGGGAGGTGGAGCTTGTAGTGAACCAAGATTGTACCACTGCACTCCAGGTTGGGCAGCAGAGCAAGACCCTATCTCAGAAAAAGAAAAGACTTGAAGAAAAAAAATTATTCAAAATTTTATACCCAAAGAGAACTGCTGTTAACATTCTTTTAAACTCTTAGTCTTTTGTTCCGCCTAAATTTTAGGTTTTAAGAATGATTTTTCTTTCTCTCCCAGTCATGGCACAGATTGAAAAACAAGAGAGATTTGAACAGTATACTACCCGTAAGAGCTGCTATCCAGAAAAGATAACTGGCCTCTGTTTCTTAATAAATTATTCCAAGAAATAAAGAACAATAGTTTCATCATAATACATTATGTTTACCTGCATCATCATTTCTTTTTTCATAGTTCTTGTTTTCATGTTTTATTTTTAAAAAGACATACAAAGATTGCATATTTTATTATGACATTTCCTAATAAAACCATTTGATTTTAAAATGTATTTTTGAAAATGTTTACATTGATGATTAGTAATATTATGGCATGAATTTTCAGGTGATCAGATAAAATATATTTTGGGAAATTACCTGAACAAATAAAAAGTTTTTGCTATAACCTCAATTAATGGTACCACATGCTAATCCTGAAGAGATGGGTGGAATTTTGGAAAGGAGCTAATTCATACATGCTTAAAGTATAACCTACATTAGATAGTTTGTTGTCTAAGTCTGTTCTAGTAAAGTGAAGATTCAAGTCAGTTGTTCAGTTACTTGAAGCAAAACAAAATCTTTCACTTCAGTGACATCACTACAGAGTCATGAAATACTGAACAATTGCCTTAAGTCTTTGCTTGACTCACTAGGATAGACTGAGGCTTTGGGTGTGTCTGTATTAGCATTTCACTAGTACTTCACAGGCTTTTGATGTACTCTTGAGATTGCTTTAAAATTTTGTATTGAAAGAATACATTTTGCACTGTAGTAATAGGAGTACTAACTCTTAGAGAATTGTTTCAAAGAATCAGTTCAGTGTAGCCGTTTTGAAAAGATTGTTTCCTGTGCTTTATGATAGCTTAGTGCAATGTGCACTTCTGCTTTACTTGCTGTTTTCCTGCTCTATTTTCTCTGTGACATGAAGCAACAGAAACTGAGAGATCAAAGTTAAGATCATATCCTGTTTGTAGTATCAGATGTTTTTCTGTGTACAATTATAGGATTATAATCTAAACTGGAATTTTTAGGCAGTAAGCCACTACAAAATGTTTTAGATAAGACAATAAAATTATTATAAATAAAAGCTTAATGTTTGTAAAAAATATCTTTATAGTATTTCTTTTTTCACATGGAAGAAGTAGTGGTGGCTACTAAAAAAAAAAAAGCTACAGTGTTTATTAAGGTTGTTTTTGATGTATGTAAATATTTGTAAATTGGTCAGTGCCTGTAAATTTAAATATAAAAAGTAATCTTGAAAACTGTTTTAACTTTTTCAAAAGGACTATGTCCAACATTTTTTAGACCTACTGTAGTACAGTTTGTACCTTTAACATATTTTTTTTCCAGACCAAATGTGCTAAAACTTTTGCTTTTCTTTGACTTATAAAAGGTACACATTTTCATTTTCTTTAAGTTCAAATTTTTGTATGATGTCAAATGCAATAAAATTTATATACAGACGTTGTTGAAGTGGTTTTTTTTTTTTTCTGTGAAAGTCTTTGCTTTTGAGATGAGACCGAGGCTGTAGTTATCATCTAGAACTGAACTAAATCTGCTTACTATGCTTGATTATTTAGATAGTACAGAGAATCTTGGAATCAAGTTCATTTGTGGTAAAGCAGGCTAACCACGTCAATATCTTATGTCTCTGGCATTATGAGGAATGCAAGTTTACACATAGTAATTTTTTAGATATCTTTCTGTGTAACACTTTTTATGCAACTGAGCTTTTCATATTTTGGGGGGAAATTTTTCCTAAAATGTACTCTACACTGTGCATCTCTTAATCAAAATGTGCTGAGTAAATATTCTAGTGATGACTGGGTCATCATAAGCATTGGTCATGGTACTATTTGGTAATACTGTGCAACTTTCAGGGATGGGTAAGTGTGTAGGGTGCTGTGTCTCTACAGTATTATGACATTTCGTAATAAAACCCAGGATTTACCATGGTGCGGACTCCTTCACTGTCACTGTTTTCTCAGTTTTCAATGTCCCCACCCTTACTACTGCTTCTTTTCACTTGCTTTACTGTGATAAATAGATCAAGAAGTCACTAAACTTAGACTCAATTCTAAATCAGTGGACTGAGGCACATGTGACTGGCCAAATATATCAAATAAGTCAACTGATAATATTTAATATATGAAAGAATTTTTTAGATTCAAGTTATCTTTAATCTCAATTATTTGTGTGGTGAGTACAAAATTATTTTGTTTGTGTTCATCTGTCCATTTCTGTGTATAGTCCCTCAATATATGTGAGGGATTGGTTCCAGGCACTCCCATCCTCTTCAGATACCAAAATCCACAGATGCTCAAGTCTCTTATATAAAATGGAGTAGTATTTGCATATATCCTACACACATTTTCCTGTATACTTTAAAGCATCCCTAAATTACCTGATACATAATGCAATGTAAATGCTATGTAAATAGTTGTTATACTGTATTATTTAGGGAATAATAATGAGAAGGAAAAAAGTCTGTACATGTTCAATACAGATGCAATCATTCTTCCTTCCGTTTCCTACCCCCTCCCAAATATTTTTCATACTTGGTTGAATTCACAGATACTACCCATGGATATGGAGGGCTGAGTGCATTTGCGTATGTTGTTAAAGTGGTGTTTAAAATGTGCAATCTGTACTACAATTCTAAATTTTCGCTTGATTTGAACTAGGATCTTTGCAAATAAATCTTATAGACATTAATGTTTGTAAGAAAATTTTAATTAAATGATGGAAAGAACATAGAATGGCTCCCTGTGGTTTTGATTAGTGTTTAACAGATTCCCATAGCTGCAATTGAATTCCTTTTGTCCTGGATGAGCCTGGCCATTTGAGACTGCTGATGTTAAAGTCTAGCTGGTCTTAAGAAAATAAATATTGCTGATGCTAAACCTGGTTTGGTGAGCAGGGGAAATCTGGACTCTGCTGTTTTCCCTCCTTATGCCCCACTAGCTGATGTTTCTGTAGTCTCAACGATTTACAGTTCACTATCTACAGACATAATGTATGCATATCAGCTAGTGTAACTGGTGAATAATCCCCAACCTACAGTCTTATCTAACAACTATGACTTGCTATAATTAAAAATAAATGTTCACTCTTCTAGCCGTCGCATCATTCTCATGAAATGAATATCTTCATGTATTGTAAAGATACCTCAGCTTGTACATAGTCAGCAGGTCTGGTTTTGTTCTCTTCAGGGAGCATTCATTATACGTACCTGCTATGTTTCAGGTACTTTGCTAGTGTGTAGGCTTGTGAGGGATGGGGATGGTCAGACAAAGAAGAGTAATAAACTTACAAGGTCCACTGGGGAAGGAGATAGAAAAATAATTTGAATATAGGATGATGTGGGAACCTGGAAGAGAGATACTGAGTTTAACTTGGGGATTTCAGAGAAAGGTGGTGATCTTGAGTTAAGGATATCCCGGTAAAAATGGGACGAAACTTTGTGGCAGAAGGAATTGTGTAAAGACACAGTGGAGTGACTTGATATGTTGGGAACTCCTGACTTCTAAAGAGAGCAGACAAGCTAGATGTGGTGGGTTACACCTGTAATTCCAGCACTTGGGAGGCTGAGGTGGGTGGATCACCCGAGGTCAGGAGTTCGAGACTAGCCTAGCCAACATGGTGAAACCCTATCTACTAAAAATACAAAAAGTAGCTGGGCGTGGTGGTGGTGCCTGTAATCCCAGTGACTCGGGAGGCTGAGGCAGGAGAATCGCTTGAACCAGGAGATGGAAGTTGCAGTGAACCGAGATCTCGCCATTGCACTCCAGCCTGGGTGACAAGAGCAAGACTCCTCTCAAAAAAGAAAGAGTAGACAGGTAAAACATGGCCGGTTAGGCAACCGTTACCTTTGTGAGGATATTGGGCTTCAGTCTTTGAGCAGTGGGAAACATTGAGGGCTTTTAACCACAACTTGATGCGAGGACGGGTTTAGGGCGTTTGGGTCAGTTTAGACAAAACTTAGCTTTTGGCTAATGTGGGGTAAATTGCCCCTCCTCAAGGTTTAAGATGAGTGGAGATAAAGTTTTCTGGCTCATTAACAGGCACCACTGACTGAGCAAGAAAATACACAGTATATTGACTTGCGATATAAAGGGAACCGGGACTGAGCAATGAATGATTCAAAACTGGGCTTTTGAGCAGGGCACACCTAGCTTTGCTTCAAATTGGGTCAGTTTACTAGCAATGAGAGACAGCTGCTGGAGCTGTTCGGAGCCTCAGTTTCCTCTTCTGGGAAACCAGTACTAACAGTAAAACCTACTTCAGGTACCACTGCAGAATCGAGGTAATGAAAGGGAGATCCTTAGCTTAGCAGAGTGCCTGGGAGTATAAGTGCCCTGCTCAGGATGTAGTTATTGTTTGGGATAAAGGGTCCCAAAAGTAGCTCAACTCAAAACCGAAAAGACTCACTCTGGAGGAAATAGAGACGGGGCTAGGGTGCCTTTCCTCCTTTGAACTTCCTGGTGCTGCCGGAGCCCGCGCCCCTTAAAAACGTATCTCCTGTCGGCCGAGCGCGGTGGCTCACGCCTGTAATCCCAGCACTTTGGGAGGCTGAGGCGGGTGGATCACGAGGTCATAAGATCGAGACCATCCTGGTCAACATGGTGAAACCCCGTCTTTACTAAAAATACAAAAAATTAGCTGGGCACGGTGGCACGTGCTTGTAATCCCAGCTACTCAGGAGGCTGAGGCAGGAGAATTGCCTGAACCCAGGAGGCGGAGGTTGCGGTGAGCCGAGATCGCGCCATTGCACTCCAGCCTGGGTAACAAGAGCGAAACTCCGTCTGAAAAAAAAAAAAAAAAAAAACTTATCTCCTGTTGCCCAAAAGGCCCGCCAGGGATCTGGCGATACTGGGGCGGGGGAGGGCTTGGTGAAGAGAAGCTGAGCTCCGGCCCTAAGAGCTCGGTGGCGAAACTTTGACGCCTTCTATTTAAAGTCTCGGGGCTCACCCGCCCCCGGCGCCGGGAACCCGAGCCGCCCCCGCAAGGGCAGGGCTG